CACTGTGATCAACCAGACCAATAATTAATGGGTAAATGAAAAATGAGATGAAAATGAAGAATGAAGTCTTAATATGATTATAAATACCAAAGTGACTGTGTAACATCTCATATGACAGTACTGCCCTAAAGACAATACTGAGGAACAGATGTGAAATTCAGTGGTGGACACACACGCAAAACAAATGAAAGAATCACCTAAACGTTTATGTGCAAAGATAAAGGCTTCATGACACATGTGCTGATTCTCACCTGTACATACATATAAACAAACGCATATGCTCTACTCTGAGACCTCTCTGGGCTTCATTCCTTAGATGCATAAATCTATAGAGGCACCTCTATAAGCCTGGACACTACTTACCTCTCTGCCAAAGCCAGTGTTTATCTAACACCTTGCCTTTCTACACCTGCAAATGATTGGGGCTAATGCTTTAAATGAAAGAATGTGAACGAGGAAGATACACTCCTCTCTACCAGAGATAATGTCACCCGGTCACTATCGTGGCCAGGAAGGATCACTAAAAGACAAGTCGAGCAAGCAGTCAGCCATACTAACTTCCCGTGAAGGTCGATTTCACACAAGCATCAGCCTTGACTTTGAAAAATCAAGTGTATTCTGAAGGAAATTTTCCTATAGGTCTATATTGTACTGTACATTGTTTATCCTTACTGTCACAAAAAAGAAAGCTTTATGTTTGGATCAGTCAGTCAGGCATAGATCAATTATGAGATGAATGCTTAATGCACAACATTAGCTCACTGACGCAAAATGTTGTCAGTCAACTCTGATGTATTCAGGCTGGAGCTTGACACAGGTTGATGATGTCATTTACAGGTTCAGTAGACGCAAAAGAAACTGGCACTGTTTCCAAATGTATTCCAACTACATTTTAGTACATTTATTATTCACTTAGGATATTATCATAAACTGGGAAATGGCTCACATTTGTTATACTGTAGGTAAACTTAAGTGTTCAAACAAACAATAACTATAAAGATAACTATAAGGATTAAAGATATCACTGTCCACACCAACAGACAATAATGTTTTATTTATAAGCATGTGCTGCAATTACGTGGCCTCTTTAAAGTCAAGTAGATTCTGATTGGCTGTTAAAATTTTTATCATTCATCAACTGGATATATCATTCCTCTGTGTTGTTATTGTTATAGTCATGATGTGAACTTCATTCTTCACATAGAATTAAAATGATTTATCTTTAATTATCTTCTTTGTACAGATAATTTTATCTACAGTACTGTACATCTCCTTAGTGTGAACAGGCCTTTAGTATTTTTTACAGGTAAATTTAAGTCTCCCTCATGTTTCCAGAAACCTCGAGCTGCTCTCTCTACCTCCTGTCCATGCAAACTATGAAAAACATGTCTCAATAAATATAACCCTGAGTTATGTAACACCTGTATGTAATCATTATAGTATTTATACTAAGGCTCTCTGTAGTGTCTGCTATGAGGTTAGTTAATAAACTATATCTTGTCTTGCGCAATCGACTCGAACCTGAGATGCAACACTTCCACCTAGAGGCCGAAAACCACACCGTCAGTCAATCTTAGATAAATGGCAGGTCACATGCTATATCTCCATGTGGAGCTATTATATGTGCTCTCTCTCGCTCTCTCTCTTTCCAACACCTACATATTCCCTAAGAAGGTGTAGAAATGTGGAGAAAGTAAAGCCATATGGAAAGTGTCAAGTCATGGCATGAATAGCATTCCAGAGCCCGGCTCCTCCATGCCGGCCAGAGGCCTATTTATATTGACAGGATGAGGCCCGGTTGCAGTGGCAGAGGGAGAAGGATGAGGCTTTGCATTTCCAGTGTGTAACCACCACGTCTGTGGAGTCCAAGTGTGTGTGTCCGTCCCCTTTCATTATGCAACCCCACGTAGACAGAAATCCCCGTTTACTGTTGCCACTCTCCAGCTCAACGTCAAACCTCCTGTTGCTGGGGTGGAAAACAATGTGTGTTGTACAGATCAGAGCACACAGAGCTCTGTGTTTATGCACTCAAACTAACAGAACATTAAACATCTCAAGCCAGGCTGTAAACCTCAAAATTCTCAAACCCTTGAAATTTTGACCCTGCTTTTACACTGGGTTAAATTATTGCTATAATTTTTTCCTCAGTTCCTCATCATTTCTATAATAACAACTGGTAAGAGCAGGCTAAACTGACTTTCCATGCTGATCCAGACTGGTTTATTTTGGTTAGAGCTGGATTAAAGCTACTGAACTATGTTGTTTACGACAGCAAAACTAAAACCAGTTTCATTTTGTGTTATCAACGCATAATCAAATTAACATTTAATATATCACATGCTTTACATTTGTTGATTGTCACCAGGTTTGTGTGTCAAGTAATGGGGTCTTCATTTGAGATAGTAGTGTTTGTTTGTGTGTGTGTGTGTGTGTGTGTGTGTGTGTGCGCGTGTGTGTGTGTGTCTGTATGTGTGTTTGTGTTACTAATTGAAAATCTGAAATTAGTTGAAAAAGAAATCTAGTTGCCTGATTAATATTGTTTTTGAAGTCTCAACAAATATTTTTTATAATGAGTCTCAGTGACTCACTCAGGTTCAGCTGAAGATGTAAAACAGTTTGTGTCATTAGTCACGTTTGCAAAGTTATATGCATTTTTGAATGTTCTCTCAACATTATGAAACAAGTAGTAAAATATATAAAAAAAAGTTAGACAATTGTCCAAGATGCTTCAGAAAACAAAAAGATAGACTTGCATTAAAGACAAAAAAAAAAGATCATGGATTCTATCCTGTCCCATTCTTTTGTTAATTTCAGGTCTCAAATTTTAGGTGTATATCTGAGTTTTTTTTTTATGTAAAGATTCTACTGTAAAAAATGAATCATGGGTCTTGTAATTTTCATAAAAAAAATAAGGTGATAATTAAAAATAGTGTGTATATTTCATTAAAGAAATTGTGGTTCAGTGTTGTATAAAAAACATTGAGGACTTTTAACTAATAAAACCAAGAGATGTGTTTTCCTCATTTTTTTAAAAGGAAACTTAAGCAGTTTTGAGGCTTGAATTGAGGAACTGATTAAACAAAAACAAATTCAGGAAAGAAGGCTACCTATTTATTTTAAGAGAATTAGCTCAATTTTGCAGTTTTATTTTGTTAGTTCAAAGCATGCTTTGAATATGGCTGGATATGGAGAGTAAATTTTGAAATTAAATTCTATTTTATGTGTTTTTGAGTGAAGGGATACATCTATTAATGTTTAATGTTCAGTTATGTTTGACTTTTGAAAGAGTTTCTTTCTGTTACGTTGAAGTTTCCATTGCGCAGTGCAATCGTTACCATTGTGCAGAAGAGAAGAGCTTACGGTTATGGATACTACTCCTCTAAGCAGGCATTGAGCCTTGTTCAATGAGCAGTAGCTTTGCTAGTCCTAGTGCAGTATTTTCCTACTTGAGCAGTTTGGCTGTATACGGTCTTTTAAATGTACAAAGTAACTCAAAGTCAAATACAAACAGGCCTCACTCAAAATCACAGATTTTGAGAATCAACTTAAAATAAATGAGCACATTTCACTAATCATAATCAATACATTGTGTCATAGATTAATTAATTTAGGACATTTTACATGATTTATTCAGGTAGATTCTATCAAAAAAAATCAAGCCTTAAAAACGACTCAAAAATATTATGTGCAATATTGTTACCATCATTTTTTTAAGTAGATAGCTCGTTCCATTTTTTACAGTATTTTAAAAGCTGGTCAGCCACTGCTCACTCTGTTGTCAGTATCTGTTTATTTCCACTTCTGAATATCCACTGGGATTTCGGACAGCGGAAACAACAATAACAGACTTACATGCAAGTAGAAACAAAGCCAATAGGCATTACATTAAGGAAACCATCTGACTGATAGCGACTGGTTGTTCTAAGAATATTTTCTCGGTGTTATCAATGGAGTGGAGGGATCAGCTGTAATGAAAATGGCCTTTTAAACCACTAAGGGAAGGTGTTGAGTTACACTTTTAATTTTAATGAGAGGGATAGGGCTAACAGATTAACAAAAGAGCTGGAGAGTTCACAGTCCTCATCACTTCTTTGCAAGACACACTGAACTCCAAGACACCAGCAGTTACTGGAATGAAAACGTCTACTAAATGCAAGTAAACATCCCCACTCAAACAGCAGCTGCACCAACATGATTCTTAAAGTGGGTAATGGGACCTCACAGACATTCTGTGATCTGTCTTCCGCCACTAATTTCCACATTGGACACTATGCCCACACACAATGTGGAACATCCCACTCAAGTAGCAGTTCACCATCAAGAATATCTCTGAAACACCTGCACACACATAACATTCTTTCTCAGATGATCTCTGCTGATCTCTGCTTAGTGCAACCATCTCAATAATGTGTGCACTGGAAGCATATAGGTAAACAATAATGAATTTCAATAATGCAATGCCCAAATGGAGAAAATATGGTAGATCTAGTATATCTGAGTTATTTAGAGCATCAACAAAGAAATGGTAAGTTGCCTAGTGAGCTTAAATGTATAGAAAGTAGAGCCATTGATAAGTTTATGTTCAGTGCCTGAATTATGGGGG